AGACAATTCCTTTAATATCTTTTATTTAAAAAAATGTTTTTACCATAGTGTACATTTCGAAACTGCTGGTTTTCCTTTGCAACTGTTAGACAGTGCAAAATGAAATTAAGGAATTCTATACTTCTTTCCACATCTTCCTCATGGCTCTCCAGTGTGTAGTTCTCGAATATCCAAACATGATCTTCTGGTATTCCAAAGATCTCGCCCATCTCTGTTTTAATTTTATCATCACCGTCATCCAGGTCACCTTTATTTGGTATCACCAGCATGATTCCTCTACCTGCAAGTTGGAAAATTCAAACAATGCACAAGGATATGATGCATAATCTTAACTATCGAGCACTAATTTGTTTTTTGGCCCTCGAAAGTATGAAAATCCTGCCCGCCCCCCTTGAGCGCCAGGGGGGGGGGGGGGGGATCTCCAAAAAGGGTAAAATTAACGTGTTTTTACACGTTTTTTTCCAGGCCCACCCCTTTGTTCTGCCACTGACTTCTACTACTAAAATTAACACAACTACCACTACCACTATTACTACTTCTACTACTTCAGTCAAACCTGGTTTAGTGACCACCTGTCTACAAAAACCATATGTCTTGTTTCCCTTGAAAAAAAAAAAATCTTGAAAGGAATCTGTCTAAAAAGACTACCTGTCTACAAAAAACAATTTCTGTGTTTCCCTCGGGCGGTCGCCATAGACATGTTTAACTGTACTACTACTACTACTACTACTACTACTACTACTACTGCTACTACTGCTACTCCTACTACTACTGCTGCTACTACTACTACTACTACTACGACTGCTACTACCATTAACTCCACTTTCACTACTACTAATATTACTACTACTACTACCACCACTATTACCTCTACTACCACCACCACTACTACTACTACCACTACTATAGTGCTATTTATGTTAGGAAGAGGTAATGTGTATTCTCTTGATTTTGCTTGTTATTCAAATATGTTAAGGGGCATGATTTTGTATTTGTTTTATTTTTGTAACGACAGAATATGTGTTCTATCGAAACCTAATGATTGTTGTGCTTCAAACATTCTTTGTTTATGCTCTGTTCCAACTATGTGTTATATCTCAATGTAACCCAATGAATGTTATTATCTGTAAACAATTATTTTACATGGTGAATAAATAAAACAAACAAACTACTAATACTACTGCTACTACTACAATTAACACGATTAAATATCGTATTAGTTCCTGCAAAAGAGACTTACTTTGGGCCTGGGCATGGATTTATTAACTTAGTTTATACGTCCAAGTTGTTAGTGTTAAAACTAACATCTCAATTTTTAGATTTCATACTATTGCTACTTGGCATAAGAAAGATGATCGTGCTAATTATTATCAAATGATAATATCCCTCATATATCAATTGAGTAAATATTTACAGAAGTACAAATTTCACGGCTTGTGTGGAATCCTACCGAAAAGGCGGTACATCCGCTTTGACAAATTCTCCGTGAATGTCTCAGATATTTGCTCATGATTCCTGGAATGAAAAAAAAAAAAATTAATTGTGACGTCATATATGAATTCTTTTTCTAGCACACCGTAAAAATCGTATGTTTGCGTCTTGTCTACATCAAAAAAGAAAGTATTTGAGATATCTTTCCTTTGTTGTTATTGTCGAATTCTACTAATAATTCATGAAGGACTGAGCTAGGACTGATAATGCATGTCTTTTTTTTATCCAACGACCGGTGTCGTAACATGACCAGCTTAAATGAATCGTTGAGTTCTGTTGCAGAGGGCGCTACACAAAATGATTTTTTTTTGTGAGATAATGAAATACTGAGTGGTAAATTTGAAAGAACATAATATTTAAATGACAAAATCATCTTTGTTTGATCAAAATCGGTTCAGAGACGGCTGAAATATAACGATTTGTAATACTTGTGTACCACCACAAATATTATCTATTTTTAAAAATTTGAAAAAACCGTTGAAAAAAACGAAATAACGCCTTTTACATCGTATTTCACCAAATGCCGACGTTGGATATTTTGTTGGCATTTTCGTGTATTTTTACCCAAAATTAGCCGGCTCATGTATTGTTATTTTTAAAGAATTAGTTAATTAACGGTCACCGTTCTTTTTTTTAAGTGGAGCTGAATTGGTATGATCGTATTGGCTAAATTTCACACATTTTGGGGTCTAAAATTACATTTTTAGCAATTTTAGATTCTAAAGGGGCACTATAAATGTCATAAGAATAAGAGCAATAACCATCCACTTTGAAGGCATTTGCGGTCTAAAAACAGAACTCAACTATCGCTTTAATACTAAGGATTCCAGATTCTCCAACATTTCAGTTGTTTACTATAGACTGTAGAGAGATAAACAGGGATAAACAGGAAGAAAGAAAGAAAAGATTTTGATTTGATTTTTTCGCATTCATGTAAGTACACAGTTTTTGGATAACAATAATAATATAAAGTAAAACAAATATTTTGCCGACGATGAATCATGATTAAGCAAATATGTATAACAATTGTTATTTTCAATTTTTTTTTATAAACTGTCATAAATACATTAACTCTTCAAATGTTATACAATTATTTGCGGAAGAATGACTGAGAGAAATAAACAGAGATAGAGAAACACAGAAAAGGAGGGAGGCAGTGGTAGGTGGCAATATATGGCAACGGCATAGAGACAGCATTTCTTTTAAATTTGACATTTTGAAGAAAAAAAAACTAAAGCGGGATACACTCTTTCTTTTCTTGGTTTTGAAAAAAGGCTACAATGTCTATTATGACAGTCCTCACCTATAGTCACATATGAAGATGGTGCAGTCAACCGGAACTTTGGGAGTTTTCTTTTTCGATTGTCCCTCTGTGCGAAAGTCTTAAACACGAATAACAGTTAAAAGGTGAGGGGAAAATGAAATAAAGCATGCGTTAGTGCTAACCAATTCTATAAAGAACAAAAGAGAAAGACAAACAAATCATGCACAATTGCAGGGTACCCCCATTTAAAGCTAGAGCAAATGTGAACAGTTTATATATGAGTTGTGTTACCTCTGTCAGTAATATTATCCGGCGATATTGTTCTAATACCGTATCAAAATAATTAGTTAGTTTTAAAATTAGAAAGAATTTAAAACTTTTTCATGTATGATTTCCTACTATGAGTTTTGTTTTGAGAATAGAAAAACAATCGTTGATTGGATTTTACATCTCTCAGAATTATTCAAATATTCGTGAAGTTTGGTCACTCCTATCATACAGCGATTTTGATAGCAATACCAAAATATATCAGATACAAATTGTATGCAAAAGTAAAAAAAAAATTGTCTCACCTATATGATATAGAATATCCTTTAGTTGGGTGTCGTCGTACTTCACCATTCCATTGTAATTGAAGATATGAATGTGATCGGTCAGTTCTATCTCCTCTATCTGTCCAGTACTATCGCTCTCCCTAGATGTTGTGGCCCTGCTGTCCGCTTCACTCGGATAATTTCATTCATTTTCATATTCATATTCATATTCATTTTAATATTCATATTCATAATTTTATTGATATTGATATTCATACTCATATTTATACTCATATTCATATTCGTACTCATATTCACATTGTTATTCTTATTCATATTCGGATTTGATATACTCATATGAATATTCATATTAGTATCAATACTCATATTCGCATTCTTATTCGTATTCGTACTTCTACGCAAAATCATAATCGTATTAATTTTTTACAGATATATTTACAATCAAAATATATTGCTATGGAGCTTTAGGAAGCGACCCCTTGGTATTATAACAATCCGAACTTATCACTAATATTGTTACCTTTTAGAGAAAAGATGAGTGAATTGATTAAAGATGACTTCCCAGCTTTTGCTAAGCCGAACACCCCCAGGTTGATGTGACCAGTGTCTTTATTCTTCGTTGTTGGTCTATTTGGTGAATAGTCCTTTATTTTGGTCCTTTTGGAATCTAATGATGGTCTCCTATTAGGTACTTCTCCTGTGATCCATCAAATACAAGACGTAGAAATGTGTGATATTGTTAATATAGGTCTACAACTTTTTGAAGGATTTAGTATGGAGTTATTGAAGAAAAAATTAAATTATTATAGATCTAATAACCTGATCAAATTGCATTTATTGCTAGAAAATAGATATATAACATTGTAGTACTTTCGAAACAAATATTGTTATGGATATTGCCAAAAAGTTTACCGCCGTGAAAATATACCTACATTATAATAGTTATAATCACCAAAAATATACCTACATTATAATAGTTATAATCACCAAAAATATACCTACATTATAATAGTTATAATCACCAAAAGTGAACTCTATGAAATTGAGCTCGCATCCAAGGAGCATATCACACTACAAAATAGTAGTAATAATAGTCGTCTTCGCAGTATTACTTTTAGTAGTGCTAGTGGTAGTAGTTTTGGTAAATTATAGTAGTGGTAGTAGTAGTGATATTAGTAAAAGTATTAGTCGTATACATATTAGTTGTTGTAATATACAAAGCAGTAAGTAGCAGTAATAGTGGAAGTAGTAATAGCAGTAGAAGTACGGTATTGCTTGAAACAAAGTAGACACACTGACACCAAGTCACACCAACGTCTATGGAATAATACATGCACTCACGCGTGACACAGTGTGATAGTGTCTATTTGATATAAAGCAAAACTGTAGTACTACAGCTAGTTAATAGTTGTGTAGTTGTAATATTGGTAGAAATAGTGGTAGTAGTAAATGTAGAAGTGGTAGTAATATCATTAACATTAGTAAAGGTAGTCGTAGTAGTAGTAATACTAGTAGTAATATCAGTAATAGTAGCTGTGTAGTGGAACCAGAAATCGTGGTAGTACTGTTAGTAGCAGTAGTAGAAGTAATAATATTGGTGGAGGGGATGTAGTAATAGAAGTACTACTAGTAGTAGCAGTGGTAATATGAGTAGAAGTGGTAGAAAAAGAATTATTAAACTCGTTTGGAGCCTACTCACTTAATAGTGTACCTGTCTCAATATCCACTGGACGATCGTCTTCTGTTTAAAAGTGTAAAGAGATTAAAACAAAAATTAGCAAAGTGGTAGATATATTTTTTTATTCAGTATCACTTTATTTTCTTATATGAAATGAAAAACTAAGCCTGATATATATCGGTAATGTTATCATGGAATGTCTCAGTAGTTTAAGTTGCAGTAGCATTGGAAGTAGTACTTTTAGTATTAGTAACGGGGAAAATATTTGCATTGATAGTAGAGTGTTGTAAATTATAATAATGGTAGTAGTAGAATTAGTAAACATATCAGTAGCATTAATACTGGATATATTAATACAAGTAGAAGTAGTACTAGAGCTAGTAATTATAGTACTAGTTGATCGTCATCTGTTTTAAAGCATAAAGAAAATGAAACGATATGGGCAACGTGGTTTTTATATTTGTATTCAGTATGAGTCCATTTTCTACTGTTAAGTGTAGCTTAACATGGGATGAAAAACTAATCCTTAAATATATCCTCACTGTTCTCATGGAATGACTTTAAACGCAATAGAAGCAAAACACAGCAACAACAGAGTACAACATAATCTAATAATGTCGACAAATAAAATTACGTAAATAAATCAATCTTTAATCCACTTGTTTGATATATCTGCTACTTTATTTTATTTTCTTTTTGTATTCGTTGGTCCAATAATCGTAGTGTTTGATTTGAACTGGTTCTCAAGTATTACATATGATTAGAATTGACTGATTTACACAGGAAAAAGGAACTTGTATTGGTTTAAATATACACGATGATTTTTTGTTTTTTTTGTCTGGTGTGTCTCGATGCCTTAAAGGAGCAAGGTGATTTCACCCTTCACAAGGATCGAGGATGGTGTACTCTTTATCAGGTTCATAAGGTATATCATAGGCCTTTAGTATGTTTTGTGAAAAAAGGTTCAGTGTAGTCAGTGTAATTACACGATAGACAATTGTTACCTGTTCTGTCTTGTGGTCTCTTGTATTTCTTACAGAGAAGTACAGCTATGATGACAACAACTACCACCACCACCAACACCACCAACACCACCACCACTACCATCAACACCACCGATGACGAATCTGTTGCAGCTGCTATTGCCGATGTTGGTACTAAAAATATAATTAAATTATAAGAAGGCATAGCATAGTAAACTGATTATCTTTAGGAATTTAGGTTTCTTGTGTTTGACTTTTGTAATATAATCAAAGCATCCCCCTTTCTAGAAACGAGTTTTTTCGTATTGCAAAAAACAATGGCACCATGTTAGTGATGCTAAGAATGGTTATGATTATCATCTTTTTAAACAGAAGTGTCAACAATTTGGATTATTCATGCCTGTAAAACTGAATTTATGTCACCATGATAACCTAGGATTATACTTGTGTTACGGAGATACTTGAAGGAAAATCCAACCTTTAATAGACAAGAACTGTTAAAGAAAGCAATGCAAAGCAAAGAAAGAACAGCATGACATGACTGTGAACATTTTAAATAAAATCTGACAAAATATGATGAAGCCGCGATTATTTTAAAGTACCCGAAGGGAGAAGGAACTCAGGAGAAAAAAAAAGAAGTTACTCATATTTTTTAAACGAGAAAGGGGAGAGCTGATCAGCACTACGTCACAATCTACTGACCAGATTGCCAATTCGGGCTGAATCGCATAAGTATAGTGAACTCTTAACTACCTTATTATTGGTCCGATTTGTTTCGAGCTATCGTCATTATGTTTCTCCTATTTTTTCAGATGTATTACAATTAAAGTTATTGCAACGGTTAGGTTATATTTGATATGATATATTTCATAAATTGGAAGACTCTAACCTCCAGGTTTGACGTTGTTGATCCCAACAGTCACGGATGATATTCCTTCAACTGCCGGGCCCTCAGCGATGCAGGTGAAGTAGTCATCTTCGGATTGAAACTCAGAAACCTGTAATATCACAGTTAGTTTTTGATCCACAGTTCCCTCTCGTTTTCCCGGGGTAATTGTTAAAAATGTACCGTTTGACAAGTCCTGCAGGGTGGTATTATCCATCCAGAACATGTCAACTTGTGGTTTAGCGCCCTCAACGAAGCAATCTAGCTGCACATGGCGTTGGTCAGGTATGGTCTTGATCATACAGCTTGCCTTTGGATTGTCCGTCACATTCACAGAGCCAGGCGAGTTGCTTCCACATTGGTGAACCCTAACGAGAGGCCTGATTGCTTTTACTGTAAACGGGAATATAATACAGTATCAATGATTTTCACCGTTTAAGTTACCAACAGAATAAAATCTAAAGACGTTAAATACAACCTATCGAATCTAACCCAACTAACCCTGTTTTCAAGAATACGTGATATTAGTTAGGGCATATTACGACTGGTCAGATCTTCTTTGAGAAAATAACATATCTTTATGTAGATTTCAATACAATGTCGCAACTGAAGTAGGAAGAAAACCTGTTTGTTTATAAATTTGTAATGATTTTGGGCAAGTAGGAAAAAGATATGGCCTTTGTCGTGAGACAACTGCATGACGTCAATTTTTTGCACGATTTGTTAAAAGTAAATCACGTGCTGAAAGATAGTTCGCCCATCATTGATGGGAGAAAAAAAGTTCGTTACACTGTGTAGATAGTACTACATTTACTATCTTTAGTTAAAGTGCGTTGCATTGTGCAGATAGTACTAGTATGTACACAATGCAATGCACTTTCACTCTCACTGAATGTAATTGTATACGTTGCGTATACGTAGGTACGTAAGTATTGTATGCACTGTACGTACCCTACACCTTGTGCTAGCTGTAAATGTATGACTTGTTGCTCTAAAATGACGGAAGAAGTGAAATGTTTCCGTCGTGGAATATAAAGCATTTAATCACCTTTTGGTTTCAGGCGATGGGAAACTATCACTTTCACCAACGGTAATTATTTGCTCACTATTCAATCATATATAATCTTGATGTTCATGGCGACTTGTTATGACTGGGCAAACAATATAACTTATATAGATTAACTTGTTATCAGCACTGTAATACATACCTGTCACAGTAACATTGGTGTAATTGCGAAATACTCGACCTGTTTCAAAGTCGGAAACTTCACAGATGTATCTGCCCTCATCCTTTACGCTGACGTCATGTATGAGAAGCGAAAAGTCGTTAGTAACATTATAGCGCCCTGCGTCGTACCCCGGTCCTGATCTTTTCCCGACCTGGTAGTATTGATCTAGAACAACTAGCAGATCGATCGATGACGAATCGCTCAAGAATTTCCAATAGACGGCATATGGTTTACGTTCGTAAGCACATGTTAGTAACCCTTCTTCGCCGAATGTAACAGTAATCTCCGGAATGGTTTCAACAACCGAGACGATGGATGCTTCTGGACCTAAGAGGACATGAACAGATAATTCTGGCATTTTTTTCCTATAATAATGATTATTTTAGGGTTGGTTGGTTTATCCATCAATCGGTTAGTTTATGGTCACAAGCAGAAAGTAATACGAACTTTTAGATTTGCGTGGACTGATACGTGTGACGTCCATTCAAAGCAGTGCATTAAAAGGACGTCGATCGTAGCAATCCACATTGAATAGCTTATCCCTGTATAAATACAGAGCAATGACGTAACGTGGTATCAGTCATTTGGATGGGAAGGGAGACACCAGTCTTTACGGTTCCATGACACATGCTCCGCCGACGATTGCTCAGCCGACATTTACTCCGCAAAACGCGATAATTGCTCCCCGACAGCTGCTCCGCCGACAGTTGCTCCGCCGACATTTGCTCCGCCGACAATTGCTCCGCCGACAATTGCTCCGCAAAACGCGACAATTGCTCCGGTGACAAATGTTCCTCGAACGACAGTTGCTCCGCCGACAGTTGCTCCGCCGACAATTGCTCCGCCGACAAGTGCTCCGCCGACATTTCCTTCGCCTCAAGCGACACTTGCTCCGGTGACATTTGCTCCGCCGACAATTGCTCCGCCGACATTTGCTCCGCTAAAAAAGTGCCCCGTAAAGGCTACTACGACAATAATTGTTGCTCCTTCCCAAAAGTACCCCGCAAAAGACAATCCTCCGCCGACAATTAAATTGCTCTCTGATCCAAAAGTGCGGCCTCGTGGAAGACATGAATGCTCCTCTGGCAATTAGTGCAATAAATGCTCAGCCGTTTTTTGCTATTCCCCATAATGTTTGATTTAAAAGAACATCAAGTTTTAGCTCCTTATGCAAGTTCTCCAGCGAAAGATAATTACTCCGCTCAAAATCTGTTTCATTTATTACTCATTAGCCGATCCAAAACTCAAGGCTATCTATCTCTCTCTCTCTCTCTCTCTCTTGCTCTTCCTTTTCCTTTTTACACCCTTTTCTTGTCTTCTTAGCTCTTTTCTTTCCTCTCATGCTATTAGTCTTCTTTCATTCTCATCACTTCGTCTTTTCTTCCCCTCTCGAGTTCTAGTTCTCTCGTGAAATTGTAACGTAATGTAGTAGGCCTACATGTAGTACATTCTTGTTTAGAATAGTATTTTCAATAATATCCAGTCCGTCTTCTATAGGTTTCTTTCCTTCAGTTAAGTGTATGTAGCTTTACTATATATACGTTAGTGTGTAAAACACCCCGTCTCATTCAAGTACTTTGTTTTCACTGACTTTAAGGGACTCACGGAACCACCGGAAGAAGAGCAATTGGCTTATCGTGAAGAACTGACATCAAACTGCAACAAAATGATTTGTATAAATGGGAATAAGTAGAAAGGCTGCCATCTAATTTTCCCGTCTCTTCCCCGTTCTCTTCTTTACGTATAAGTGCCCTTCGAAGCTTATTTTGATCCCTCCCCTGTTGCTTTCTAGAACTTCCACGATGACCTAATACATTGTATCAGGGGCGTCGCTAGACATTTTTAAGTGGGGTGGGGGGGGGGGGTGGTGTAGAGGCCAACGATTACCGACAAAACTAGCCACCAATTACCGACAAAAATAAGTGTCTCAATATCTACATATAACCCTATAAACCCGGGGCCGAAGGCTAAATTGTTTTTCCTATGGACTATCTATAGTACTTGCGTATGCGCAAATGATCAATTTCCTCGACGACATAAATATACGAATTATTTTGTCAACTTAGTCAACATCATAGCTATATATTTTAATTCAGGCGCGGAGCTAGGATCTTATTTTGGGGAGGTGCGGTAGTGAGCAAGCGAAGCGCGCTCGTTAGAGGGTGTCGGTGTTAGGCCTCCCGCGCGAAGCGCGGAAGCTTAGACGTTTCCCTAAATTATTAGGAAAAGAAGACGATTTATTGTACTGTTCTCGACTCGTCTAAATGAAGTTTTCCCCTCCCGCGCCAAGCGCTGAAATTTTGGCGTTTCATCAAAATATAGAGAAAGGAAGACGATTCGTCGTATCGTTGTTGACTCTTAATCCTTGTTTGAATTTAGTTTCCCTGAAAATGTTAAATCTCTGATTTCTTAAGCTGATATTATAGGAAGTGAAACTTCGAGAAAATACAAGTATTGTAGTTGTAGTCACTCTCGAAGTCGTCACAGCGGATACAAAGTCACAGTTCGTAGGGGAAAAAACTTGTCGGCCGACCGACAATATACATCTCACCGACTTCAAACTTCTGCATTGATATAGTACACGAGGATCGAGCAAAAATACCGACCTAGCTGACCCGACACAGCAACATATTTACCCGAGTCTTTTTTGCTTCCTTGACGAGACGACTCCACCCAACGACCCCCCTTTCTTTTACCCCCACTCCTGCTTTCTCAGGCTCTTACCGCCCCCTCCTCTCTTTCACACCCCCCCCCCGTTTCTTTTGTTTCCCTTTTCTCTTTTTTCCTTTTTTTTCCTTTTCTTTCTTTTCTTTCTTTTCCTTTCTTTCCTCTCCTCCCTCTTTTTTTCTTCTCTTTCTTTCTTCTCTTTTCTTTCCTTTCTTTTCCTTTCTTTCCTTTCTTTTCCTTACTTTCTTTTCTTGTTTCTTTTCTTTCCCTTGCCCTCTCTTTTTTTTCCTCCCCCTTTTCTCTTTTTTTCCCGACGGCAGCGCAATTTTACCGATAATATCCTGAGAGGTGGGGGGGGGGGGGCGGGGTGTCGCACCCCCACACCCCCCTTTGGTTACACCCCTGTAATGCTTTACTTGCAGATGGTTTATCTAGTAAGATGCATGTGCTTGCTTGCATTGAGGTCATTTCAGGTCTTACATATTGATGAGCTGTTTGATATTAACTAGGAGGTATGCGCGTATTGGGGAATGTGGCTTGCTGCTCTACTTTTTTAAAAAAAACTTCCCACGACATGGAATGAGTGTTCAGGGTACATCCTATGGGACGTACAGTGATAGATGGAAAGTTATTTCAGTATATTCGAAATGACTTCTAGGTAACTCCTTTTTCCTCCCACATCCTTATCCTTTCTTCTTTCTCTTGCGTTTAGAAACATTGTATGAAGCGCATTATAAATGTAATGTATTATCAGGTGGGCTGTATTTAATACAGATCACCTTATGTTTTCGTTAGAATATTTGTCTTATTTCTAACCACTTTTTTGTTAGCACGATAACTTGAAAATGGCTCAATCAAATGCCTTGAAATTTGGCACACATAATAAAGGCATGAGGAAAGAGCACAATAAGGTTTTCAACCTTGTCCTTGATTGATAACGTCATCCAGGCACCATTTTGTGAAAATCAAAATATGATCATAACGAAAAGACATTTCTCATTCATATTTACCAGGATCAAGGTCAATATCAGTCCGGTCAATTTCACGTCAAAAAACGCGAGCGTACGCCATTATTAGCTAAAGCATTTCATAAAGAATCGCGCGCGTTTTCGTTTGTCACGGCCGAACGCAAAATAATTCATCCTGGATTATTTTTTGACACAGTATTCTTCATGTTTTCCCGAACAATTTGATACCATGTTTATCTCTTTATGACCATTAATAAGGGAATGAGCGTCCGTTCAAGATAAACGTCCGTGCGCGCGTGCTCATGTAATACATAGCATATATGGGCAACAACATGCCTACACAAAACCCTTATGACTCTTTGGGATGGACGGGAACCCTCAATTTTTGTTTCATATTCAGATAGAGTATGAGTCGGAGATGTGATTTTATGTCTCATTTGGCCATTAAGTATATCGTGTCATCATCATATTGACCTTGGAACTCAAAATACGAATTTTAATATTATGACGTCAGCATATTTATGGAAAATTGATTGTATCTCTGTAAATATTGATTGATTCTCTTCTTAATGTTAATATCTTGTAGTTGAGGCAATTGTCTACAAGTTACTGCATATTATTTTTCATTTTGATGACATCATCATAGTGAAAATTGCGATTAAAGGTAACTTGACAGATTTTCTTAATTTGCGTGTTAATCCTGTGGAAGGTGCCAATTTAGTTCAAATCATGGATCTACATGACATTAATCTTTGAGCACTATCTAGCTTATTTTGTGCTCTATGTTCTCCCAAATTTTGGTATGTTATAGCTGAGACTATGGGCCATAAAAGTTGTGTCTTTTGTTTTTTGATCAGATGGTGGGATCATGTCGAAATTTTCAATTGAAAGTAAATTCGCAAATGTTGTAGAACATTGTAGGAATTATGCATATGTCACGTTTGTCCTTTTTGTGAAATATAACGTTAGCAGTTTTCTAGTATTCAAATTAAACAAGGAAACCCCTTTACTTTCTATACTTTACTGTCAGACACTATTGAGTGACTGACCAATTTTTTTTCCTCTGGTAATAAAATACATTATATGAGCTTAAAGGGTACATGAGCATTTGTCCACATGAATAACCCACTTCTTGTAATGGCCCAAAATAATCCGATTGAATCTATGCGCAGCACAATCTAGGTAAACATGACGGGTAGAGCATTTCATGGAAGAAGATGAAATTGTGAAAATGCATTCTTCGTTATGTCAATTAGGGTCAAAGTTGTAACTGCTTATTGAATGGGGTCAATTGTCATATATCGTCTCAATATATCTTCCATAGATCCATAATGGTCAATATACTACACAGTTGAAACTTTTCATATGGATAGACCTTAAAGGTAAAGACCAGGGGTGGTATTCTGAACATTGTTGTAAGTTTTGTGTTATCTTTTGTTGTATCTCACAGAGATAACACAGCGCTAATATTGTTGTAAGTTGGTATTCTGAACATCATTTTATCCCTGTGTTATCTCTTGAAGGACCGCCTCTATCTTATCTTTGACCACTGTTGACACGCCCATTTGTATGGACCCTACCAATCAAAATCTGTTTAATATAAGCATGATAAGTAGGTCAACCAATAGGAATACTTTATGCCATATCTGAAGATGCGCCTAGCACATACTAATCTTGGGCGTAATTAGTTATTTGAGCGCTTATTACGCGCGTCATCACTATG